GTAGACCCAATCATTCTGAGGTGGAGAGGAGCAGATAGCCAAGGCCCAGCACGGGCCGCACCAGGATGCCTGCCCAGCCCCCCGCCGCAGAGAAGACACACCCATGACCACTCCACCACACCCCCAATGACCAAGTGCCCCTCCAGCCGTCCACCCGAACCCAGCAGCCACCCCAGCCAGGGGGCCACCCACAGGAACCAAGAGCCACACCTCAGGAGACCAAGCAGCACCAGGGAGGATGGAGAGCCAGCCCCGCCCCCGGCAACCATCCAAGCCCCGAGCCCACCCACAGCCCAGGACCGCACCCAGTGGCCCGCCCTTTTTCAGTACCCCCTTCCCAAATGGCAGTCGGGGAATGGGATGGGAATAAAGACCCTGACACACACACCCCCACCCCCAGATGTACTGTTGGTGCATGTTGTTCTATAGAGTAATTAAAAAGGGAAAGAAGAAGAGGCAGAGGCCGGCGTGGTGCCAGTTTCCCCTCCACCACTACTCTAACCCAAAACCCTAAGTGTCTATATGCAAACCTTGGGGGATGGGCACAGGCACAGGAGGCTAGAATGGTGCCATCCGGCCACCTATAGCCATGAGTGCCTACCTTAAGTTCCTTTATGCGAATGTCATGAAAATGTTATGATTGAATGTCTAAGATGTACAATATTATTTTTGGGGCCCAGGTTGTTATGGCAAATAGAAAGGTAATATTGCTTCTCTTATAACACAACTGTGCCCCCCCAAAAAACCTACGTGGGTGAAGTTGAAAGTGAAGAGGATGGAGGTGTGCGGTGAGGAATGGGGAGAATAAGCTGAAGGAGCAAAATGCTCCCACAGGGAGTCAGCTCCCTCGCTGGCCCCAGCCAGCCCTCCCGTTCCCCGAAACCCTCCCAGGAAGAGCAGCCCAAATACCTCTCCCTCCAGGCAAACCACCAAGCCCACGGAACCCCAGACCATGRACTGACGGAGCCCCGAARGCCACCAGAAACYGGGACCAACACCCCACCCCCCCAGAGCCACCCAGACCCCCAAAACYCGACCCCAGCCCCATAGCCGGCCTGCCGCCCAGAGAGGCCACCGTTCCCCAGCAAGGACGRCCCGGCCAAGAGCGCCCACCCAACCGCTGACAGAGCAAGGGGGCACCCAGGGCTGGCCCCCGCCACAGCAAAGGGGCCAACCAGCTGGCCCAGCACAGCCCCCAGCCACCACCAAAGGCCACCAACACAAACCCCACCCCAGAAGACATACTACACCCACCCCAATATTCGGGCCACTATCAGAACAAATAACACAAGGACACCCAGGCTAGGTTGACCCCCCCACCCCCCACTAGCCCCATGTCACGCCCCCAGCCAACCCTACCCCCCAGCCCATGAGAACCACAGACCACCAGCACACCAGAGGTCCCCAGCCCAGAGCCGGGCACCAGGGCACACACCGGCCCAGGTCCCGGCAACCCGCGCCCACCCGCCCCAGCACTGCCAGGCAACCGGACCAGCGACCCATGACCGCCACTACAAACAACCCGAGGGCCCACATGCAGCCATCAGAAGACATCCCCCAGGACCACCAAGGCCCTCCCCAGAGCGAGAGCAGTGTCACCCCCACTCCGGAACCCCCGGCGGCCAGCCCCCAAGAACCCCTCCAACCCCCCAGACCCCAATACAGCCCAACCAGCCTCAATACCCTACGAGGTCCGATCCCAAACCCCCCACCCTCACCATGTTTTGGAACTAATCAAAGGAGCCCAAACATATTTATCTGATGTGGCGGCAGAGGCTGTTTCAAGACTATAATGATCTAACAGACGATTTCTATACTGATTAATGCTAAGATCATTTTTATTTTTCCAATTTAAGAGTATGGTTTTCTTTGGGCTAAAGCGATCTTGTCAAACTGCTACACAAGCATGTTGAGCAGGTCTCCCTGATAATGCACACAAAAATAGGTGCAGATTGATTCATGTACAGGTCCTTCTCAAAAAACTAGCATATTGTGATAAAGTTCATTATTTTCTGTAATGTACTGATAAACATTAAACTTTCATTTATTTTAGATTCATTGCACACCAACTGAAGTAGTGCAAGCCTTTTATTGTTTTAATATTGATGATTTTGGTAAAAAAGTAAAGAAAAATCAAAAATCCTTATCTAAAAATTTGGACATCATAAAAAGGTTCTCTAAACGACTTTTTAACCTAATCATCTGAATCAACAAATTAACTCTAAACACCTGCAAAAGATTCCTGAGGCTTTTAAAAACTCCCAGCCTGGTTCATTACTCAAAACGACAATCATGGGTAAGACTGCTGACTTGACTGCTGTGCAGAAGGCCATCATTGAGACCCTCAAGCAAGAGGGTAAGAAACAGAAAGACAGTTCTGAATTAACAGGCTGTTCCCAGAGTGCTGTATCAAGGCACCTCAGTGGGAAGTCTGTGGGAAGGAAAAAGTKTGGCAGAAAACGCTGCACAACGAGAAGAGGTGACAGGACCTTGAGGAAGATTGTGGAGAAGGGCCGATTCTAGACCTTGGGAGACCTGCAGAAACAGTGGACTGAGTCTGGAGTACAAACTTCCAGAGCCACCGTGCACAGGCGTGTGCAGGAAATGGGCTACAGGTGCCTCATTCCCCAGGTCAAGCCACTTTTGTACCAGAAACAGTGGCAGACGTGCCTGACCTGGGCTACAGAGAAGCAGCACTGGACTGTTGCTCAGCGGTCCAAAGTACTTTTTTCGGATGAAAGCAAATTTTGCATGTCATTCAGAAATCAAGGGTCCAGAGTCTGGAGGAAGACTGGAGAGAAGGAAATGCCAAAATGCCTGAAGTCCAGTGTCAAGTACCCATAGTCAGTGATGGGCTGGGATGTCATGTCAGCTGCTGGTGTTGGTCCACTGTGTTTTATCAAGGCCAGGGTCAATGCAGCTA